AAGTAAGTATATTATTATTATATATATATATATATATATATATATTTCAACAGCCCTATAACACACTTGTACTTCAACTGATGGAGATGGGCTCCGTAACCATGTTACTGGAGTTCTGATTCTGATCGCCACTATGCACCACTGATTGCAAAAATATTAGCCTTATATTTTAGTTTCCTATAAAGGAAAAGGTGTATGTGATTGAGAGACAAAGAAAGAAAATCATAAATCAGATCAGAGGCGCACTGTTAAAAACAAGCTCTGCACAGCCTTGTCTCCCAATCAGAAAGACCAGTGCATTAATCCATCTTGATACTCACTTTCTAGAGTAATCATGTACTCCTAGGTACTGTACTGTGTGTGAAACTTAGCAAGAGCCTCAGCATTCTGTGGAAATCCATAATGTGCAAGTAATGAATGTTCTACATACTGTAAAACCTTTGGATTAGTCACACTGCCTAGTTACAGACAGCCAATTAACTGTGATTAACTAGGAACCCAACATCGATTATTTAGATCTCTAGCAAGAGATCCACCCCAATTCAAATATTTTCCCTTTAATTTTTATCTGTTAAACTCCAATACAGTTTCATAGCACTTTGTAGGAGATACAAGACAAATAACATGTACCTCTAGCACGTTCTTTAAAATATAGCCTGTTTAGTTGCTTATGATTGAGACATCAAGTACAGTTATGTCTGCTGTTTTTATAGCAATGTGATAAAAATTCACAAGATGGTGAAACGGGGGAAATGGTCCCACCTGTTACAGAAGCACTCTACAGAACAGTGCCCTCTTATTGGCAGATTCAGAAGTATGCAGTGGACCAAATGCTGTTCTCAGTCTTGTACATGCAACACACTGAAGTCAACAGAATTGTGAGGCCAGATTCTGATACCTTTACTCAGGCTGACCCTGAAAGCAGAAATTAGCCCCTAATCTATGACTCTGAATAGCTCCTTTGTGTGATGACGTGGCTTTCTGGCCATTCATAGTTTGGGACTCCATCGTTCACACAGGGGGGTCTTAAGTGGAAACTAGAACTGGTCAGAACATTTCAAAAATGTTAAGACAAATGAGGGGGCAATTGTGAACATGCCATTATTTCTCCTCCCATTTTCTGCCCTGCTCTACTGGAAGTGCTACTGATGTAGATAAGAGATGAGCTATGCAATAGAGTCTCTCCTAGGAAATGCCCGTGACAGAACATACACATGTTGGGTTAATCATTTACACATCCAGGCAGTGATTCTCCACTGGACCTAAGCTCAGGAATGTAAGGGATGGTGCTGCCAAGGAACCACTCATGGCTCCTTGATTCTCAGCTGTCTGGCTGTGGCTTAAATTAAATCATCAGGGGGGAGGAGCTTTAACTGATGCCACTAATGCAAGGTGGCTCTAAACCAGTGACAAACTGGTCACAGCAGAGCTTTGCTCTGCCACACTTCCCCTCCTGGCAACAACTCTCCCTTATGTTTGGCAGGGAGGAGGCAGCTTCTGGGGCAGGTGGTGTGAAGCCATGGCAGCAGCTTGAAGCTGGCAGTGATTCCCCCATGCAAGGGGAATTCCCCAGGGACAATCTCTGGTCACTTTAAATTCACTTTCTGCCACTTACGTAGCAAAGGGATCTTGGCAGATTGGAGAATTGGACCCAAAATGATACAAAGGAGTAAATTTCACCCATGACTAGCTTGACTGTAAAACTACTTGAGACCCAGACTTGATATATGCTATATACTATATAGGCCTAGTTGCCTATGCCTTTAAAACAAGCATATGCCTTTCAAGGCCCTGACCCCACCAAATAAGATTCTGTTGCTATTTACTATTTGTATTGCAGTATGACCTAGCGGCCACTGTCAAGATCAGGGACCCAATGAGAAAGAAAGAGATAATCCTCTACCCCAAAGACTTACAGTCAAATTGACCAAGAAAGGCAAAGGGTAGGTAGAAGGAAGTATTATCTTCATTTTATGTAGTGGTATTTGGGAGAACATGAGATTAAGGTGATTTATCCAAGGCCATGCAGGAAGTCTGTATCAGAGTTGGAGACTGAGCTAAGATGGCCTGAGTCCCAGAAGCTTGCCCCTAACAAAAAAAAAAAGACAATTAACAACAAATAGTAATAATAATAGTAGTAATCCCTTGCACTTGTATATCATCCAAGGGTCTCAAAATGCTTTGCAAGCATTAGGTCTCCTAACTAGAGCTGCATGAAAATCAAGTGAACCCAAATCTGAAAACAGAATTCAACCTAAACTGTTCAGCTTTACCGGGATTGTGCCCAAAGCCACATTCTGCCCCACAACGACACAAAACTCAGCCCAAGATCACAAACATCTGCAAAACAGGCCCAAGTTTCAGGTTGGTGACAAAGCCTCAAAATAGGCAAAACAAATCTCCAAACTACTTGGTTTGGGGTTTTGTTATGAAAATTTCACATGAATCTCCTCGTCCTCACCCCAGTGTGCCCGCCCAAAAGATGTGCTGGCTTTATGGTTATGTCCTACAGTATCCGTAGGAAGAGGTGGATGATGCTGTTTGCCAATCTATAATAGTGGGTCTGGAATATTCATAGAATCCATAACTCCACTTGATGTCTGTAACATCGCCTGCACTTTGATGCCACAAATCAGCTG